TGTGTACATGCACAGCAGGGTGGCTTGGAGGTTAGAGACAGGAAAATTGTTGCTTACTGGCTGCTAGCATAGCTCCAGGTCCAATGAGAGTCTCTCAGAAAAACCCAGAGAACCATGACAGTGAGCAGGATACCTCCAGTCTCCACATGCATGTGTAAGATACTCACATAGACACACAAAAATACTTTCCAACAGGCATAACATACCTTTATTGTTTTTGGTGGGGGGGGGGGAAATGTATGTCCGTTTCTGTCTCCCACTTTTGATCATGAGGTAGAAAGCTGCTTAAGCGACAGTGTGGTACTCTTGCCTCCTTAGACAGCAACACTAAGACTGACCAGTTTGAACAGTTCCTTTAAGTCCTTTGAGCTTCAAGGTTCTTGTTTGCTTGCTTGTTTTTTCAAGACAGTGTTTCCCTGTGTGTAGCCTTTCCTGTCCTGGAACTGGCTCTATAGACCAGGCTGCTCTGCCTCTGCCTCCCAAGTGGTGAGATTTAAAGGCATACCTCACCAGCCCCCCCCCCCCCCCCGCAAACCTCAGGGTTCTTTCTCATGTGTGGAGGATTGAATGAAGTGGACGAGGCCCCAGGCAATCTCTCAACTGCTTCTATGAGAAAACACTAAAAATCAGATCTCTAATGTAGGTGTAGAAGATCTCAATGTTTCACTCACTCGATGACATAATACAATCTCAGAAGATCTGGGAAGGGAAAGGAAGGTGGGAATGAAATCTTCCTGAGAGCAAAGCGGTCCGTTTTATTGTTGAGGCAACCAACTTTGTGGGTCCATCTCCCATTGAGCACAAAGGTTTCTAATTATAGATCTTTATCAGCTCAAAGAGCCAACACTTTAAACATTTCAGACTTCTCATGAGTTCATGACCCTTCCCCAGTGTAATCCAGTTCTGTCCTTTGCAGCTTGAGATGCCTTGCAGGTCCATTGTGGAAACATGAGCTCTCTAAGTTTTTAAAGCACCAGGTAAAATTATACAGCATCATGGCTCCATCCGAAAAGTTCTGTGCCGTTTTCTTCACTCTCAAAGTAGGAACCAGTCAGCTCCCAAATAACCACACAGAGACTTCTTATTAATTATGAAAGCTTGTCTTGATAACTTAGGCCTGATTCTAACTAGCTCTTACAATTTAAATTAACCCATTTCTTTTGTTTGTTTGTTTTTTCCAGACATTATTGCTTTGGAGCCAGTCCAGGAACTAACTCTGTAGACCAGGCTGGCCTCAAACTCACAGAGATCCGCCTGCCTCTGCCTCCCAAGTGCTGGGACTAAAGGCTAAATTAACCCATTTTTATTAATTTACTTTCTCCCTCATGGTTTATAACCTCATCTCCATAGTGTTCATACTGCTTGCTCTGGATCTCATGGTGTCTCCTGGAGACTCCATCCTTCTTCCCAGCGTTCTCTTTGCCCCGAAAATCCTTCCTAGCTACTTTCCGTAGCTTTTTATTAAACCAATCCAAGTGACACTTCCTCACAGTATACAAAAAGATTATTTCACAGCATTATTCAGATGAGGAAACAAACAGCACAGAGCATGCCTCCTCTTTGGAACTCCTGACTTGAGTGAACCCTCCTCTGACTGGTGCATGCCAAAAGTAGACTCTACCCATAGCCTTCACAAGCAGAACTGTGGACAGTTGGGCTTTCTCATTGTTCTTGGGCCTCACCAGCTCTCCTGTCAACATAGATTTGTAAAACTTGCCATTGTTTTTCTGCCATGCCTTTTCTCTCTAGATGATTGACATGGGAATGGGTGAGTAGTTATGGCTAAATCATACCTAGAATTAAAGAGTAAATGTGCAGCCAAGCAGTGGTGGCACACACCTTTAATCCCAGCACGGGTGGCAGAGGCAGGTGGATCTCTGTGAGTTCAAAGCCAGTCTACAGAGTAAGTTCCAGGTCAGGCTCTAAAGCTACAGGGAAACCCTGTCTCGAAAACCTTGTGGACCCTGCCTTCAATGTTAAAAGGTGGTTGGTAATATAGTCAATTTATAATTTATTGTAATTGATGGTAGCCCAGTCTAACCACAAACTTGCTAGACCTCCCACCTCCCAAGTACTAGGCTTGTAGGAGTGGACCACCAGGCCTGGGTGTTCATCTGAATATCTTGATCGCTCCCTTTCTGTATAGGAAATGTAAGATTTCACTATGTGAGAGCCTGGTGGTTGAAGACACTGGTGGAGACTGCAGAGGCATAGATTCCCTTTTGAAATGGATTATGCTTTTTTTGAAATTGTAATGAAGTTTTCTCTCTGGGCAACTGTGGTTTGTATTCTAGAGTTTGCCTTGCCAGAAAAAAAATGGTAATTTTAATAATAATCTAAGAAATTAAGATATTTATAAAACTTGAAATGAGAAAATTTAACATTACCATAATCACTTTCTACGTCTAGGTAAAACAGTAATTGTAAATGATAATTTTAGATAAAGAAAAGTTAGACTTTTAAAGCTACATATAGTTTTTCTTTAGAGTGTTGATGACTGTTTTGATTATTATTATTATTATTATTATTATTTTCAAGACAGGGTTTCTCTATGTAGCTTTGTAAACTAGACTGGCCTTGAACTCACATAGATCTGCCTGCCTCTCCCCCCCCCCATGCTGGGATTAAAGGTGTGTGCCACCAACGCCCAGCTTATTATTATTATCATCATCATTATTATTACTACTACCACAAACTTAGCAGCAGGAAAGTAAAAAACAAAAAGAGCCTGTGACCAAGGGGTGGGCCATCCTGATGGCCACCAGAGTTTCTTACTTATTAACAAATCACAAACGCAGAGAAGCTTAGCTACTTTTTGTGCCAAGATCTGAAAACATTTGATAACAATTGACTCGGCTGCCATGATGTCACCATCAAAAACCCATGAAAGAGCCTCTAATATTAGACTTCTAAATATAATCCGCTAGTTGTCAACTTATCTCATGGATTCAGGAAAACACAGTTGGTATTATGTAAGACAGGAATTATGAAAATCGGTCTTCTCCAGTTGTTGGCAAGATAGCCTTTTCTTTATATATTGTGTGTGGGGGGAGTGTACACACATTTGGGGGTGGGGGTGGGTGCACACTTGTGGGTGCTCGCATGTGTGTGCCTGTGCATGTGCAATGGCATTTGTGTGCAGATCAGAGGACGACTTTCAGAAGTCAGGTCTCTCTGTCCACCCTGGGTTCTGGGGGTCGGATTCAGGTTGTCAGATTTGTCATTATAAGAAAAACCAGTTACCTCAGTCTTAGTAGATAGAAAAGGATAATTACGTAGCTAATTCTGTCTACTATAATCACTAGAACTTAGTCAGACTCCTGAAAGTATTTTAGGAGGAAACATTGAGTCAAGGAAGATTTTGGTGGATCATCAGACACTGACTATGGTTTAGCTGTTCATGAACCTTCTGTAGTCCTCAGGGAAGTTTGACTTCACACCCTGCACCCAGGTAGTTAGGCAGAGGGTAGCCATTTTAAATCCTTGCTGGAAGGGATAGCCCTCATGGTATAGTATTTTTGTTAGGGTTTGTCCTACTTTGGGGAAAAGGGTCTCTGAAGCAGTGTAGCATTTATAAAGGTAAGATACAGGGCAGTGGGGAGCCACCATAAATAAATCACCTTCATTTTGAAATATCTTATTTCTTTGCCCTCTCAGAATCCTATATGGAATCTGTAGTAGGCTTCCATACACAGCCCTAGCTGTACTTTCCTTATGAATTCAGGAGAAGCCATTGACATTGTCTTAGTTCATTTTCTGTTGCTGTAACAGAATAACCCAGACTGAGTAACTTACTAAGAATACATAAATGTATATGTATAACTACATGTATGAGCATATCTGTAGTTTACTTTGGTTATAGTTTTGGAAATTGAGAAGTTTGGTGAAGCCTTCATGCAACGCCAAGGAAAAAGGAAGTGTATGAGAAGAGACAAGACTGAGAAACCAGGCACACTGGAAGGATAACCCTTGGGGTTGTTAATTCAGCCCATGGAGAGCATTCTTCACCCCGTCCTTTTTCCATGTGGAACTCTCTTGATCCAGACACTGCCCTTCAGCACCATTACATTGGGAAACACATGGCAGTATGAGGTTCAGAGGGGACAAAACAAGTCCAAACCATCACTGGGTACCATGTTCTGAAGCACTCGCTGCTTATGGAAACTGGCCCTTCCTGATTGTTTGCTGGGAAAGGCCGGGAGCAGTTATGGTGGGGAAAAAGTCCTCCACAGACTTCGAGGGTTTTTAGACTTTCCCCAGAAGGATGCTATTCCTCTAAACCTGAATGTTTCTTATTCAGAACTAGTATTTAATTACTTGAAAAAAACTTCCAAAAAATCATATTTAATTTGAAAAGATGATTCTGAATAGGAAATATATTACAGCCAGGTGGTGGTGGTGGCACATGCCTATAATCCCAGCACTCAGGCAGATCTCTGAATTTGAGGCCAGCTTGGTCTGCAGAGTAAGTTCCAGGACAGCCAGGGTTCCACAGAGAAAAACCCTGTCTGAGAGAAAGGAAGGAAGGAAGGAAGAAATGCATTGCCTCAGCCATTTAAAGCCTTTGAAGAGCTCGCGTGTAATGGCTAGCACCACAGTTTTGACTGTTTTCTCTTTTTTTTGATGGAATTCTTGGTGCCTTCTTCTTCACCGCCTCTAGGGTCTTTAAGGACTTCAGAAACTGGTAAACAAGACCCATGACTAAAGAAATAAGATTGAGGGTTGCTCATTTAAACTATCTGGTCATAGTTTCTGATTGTCAGTCTTTTGAGAAGTCTCACTATGTATCACTAGCCACAGAGTTACCCTGAGGAGACACTGCTGTTGTGCACTGCCTTGCCCTGCTGAGGAACTCTAATTGTCTTTTGACAAAAGGTTACATCTGGGTGTGGCCATGTCCTTTGACCTTGAATTTCAGGAACAGTCAGCACTGGCCATTTGCAGATCCTGATTTACTGAATGTGGTCCTCTCTCTCCCTCCCTCATTCCTCTCATTTCAGTGGTGCTTCATGCTCCACCTCCCACCAAGATCAAACGGGAGCTGCATAGCCCCTCCTCTGAGTTGTCATCCTGTAGCCATGAACAGGCTCTTGGTGCTAACTATGGAGAAAAGTGCCTCTACAACTATTGGTAAGTGTTGGAGGTGGGGGGAGGGAAGATAGGGTGTGGCTGGTTGGGGAGGGTGGGATGGAGAGCTGCACAGAAAGGCTCTGTGAGTAGAGTTCCAGGTATTACCTAGCATGCCCCAGGGCAGAGCTTGCCTGCCTTGCCTAGGTGTAGCCTGATCTGCTAGGGCCATTATATGCTATGCATGAAAAGCACAACCTTCATTTGAGTGTTGTGGCTCCACAGGGAACCAAGGCCAGCTAGGGAAAGAACCTGGAATCCTGGGCCATTTGATCTGTGAGGCAGGCAATATACATTTCTTCCTGTCTATCATATGTTAATGTGAACTTTAAGCACCAAGGAAATAATCTTCAAATCAGAATAAACTAAAAAGCCCCCACACTTTTGCCCTTTACTTAAGACTATCCAGGTCCCAGGAATGAGGCTTTAATTTTAATCGTTCTTTGCGCTTAAAGGGTAAATACAGATCTGCCTGGAACCAGGGAAGGCTTGTTTAATTCAAGTACTGACACCTTCCACAAAGATTCTGACCACCAATTCCTGGGACCCCTGGAATATTTTGAAGAGGGGACCAGAGAAGGCCCATAAACTCCCAGCCTCACCATCCACCCCTGCACACACATCCACAGAGAATTCTTTTAGAAGGAGGGAAAAAGGAAACCGGAAGCAGAGGCTAAAATTATCTTGGAGAAAAATCACTAGAAGTGTTAAACAAGTCTTTGACGCAGTGTACTTGTCACATTTCAGAGGTACAAATATTCCCCGAGGGCTGGAGCAATTTAACTATGTTAATGATGTCATTTCCTGGCAACAATGGGCTGCAAACTGGTGCTCTGCTGGACCTGGTTACCATGCAAATGCTCCACGGCAGCTCAATGGTTGCTTCTCTTTCTTTTCACAGTGCCTACGATAGGAAGCCTCCCTCTGGGTTCAAGCCATTAACCCCTCCCACCACTCCTTTGTCACCCACCCATCAGAATCCCCTGTTTCCCCCACCTCAGGCAACTCTGCCCACCTCAGCTCTTGCCCCTGGAGCTGGCCCAGTTCAAGGGGTGGGTCCTGCCCCCACCCCTCACTCACTTCCAGAACCTGGATCACAGCAACAAACATTTGCGGTCCCCCGGCCACCACATCAGCCCCTGCAAATGCCAAAGATGATGCCTGAAAGCCAGTATCCGTCAGAACAGAGGTGGGTACTACTATGGACTTTCCTTGATTCCCTTCCTCAGGAGTTCCTTTCCTCATTGGGGAGAAACAGTCATGTTTGCCAGGTACCTCTAAAGTTGCCTGAGACATGTGAGTTAGACTACTGATGCACTATGGGTATAGACTGGTTATTTACCATCCTGTTCCCAGGTACTCGGAATGGGTTATAGGATTGCAGCACCCTCAGAAAGCTTGTCCACCAGCTTCCAGCCATGAAGAAGGGCGGCTTACCCAGGATGCACAATCAGTTGACCTCTACTGAACTTTAGTTTATGCTACTCTTAATTACCTTATTACCATTCTGTTTGCATCCTGGGGAAATTCTGAGTTACAGGAGGCATTATCAGATTTTAGCATATTTCTGCAATAAATACGTTAGTGATAACATCTGCTTTTGGGGTACAAATTTCCTGGTTTCCCTCTAGGTAGTTTTTATATTTCTAACAGTTGAAACATTAGGGGAAATTTGTCTAGAGTCCTTCATTCATCAAAAATAAAGATAAAAAAGAAAATCTGGCTTTCTAAGTTAATTGTCTGTGGTAGAGGCTGTCAAACTTCCTAATGCTACGACCCTTTAATACAGTGACCCCAACCATAAGATTATTTTTGTTGCTACTTCATAACTAATTATACTGTTGTTAGGAATCATAATGTAAATATCTGGTAAACAAACCCCTATGAAAGGATCATTTATCACCCCCCCCAAGGGGTCGTGACCCAAAGGTTGAGAACTGCTGTTTGTGGAAGTCTACAAATTTGGCTGGTTGTAGACTTACTGTGTGTGAGATGTTTTTCATCTGTGTTGGATAATGAGTAACATAATGACTAATCAGTAGTATTACCAAGGACTGCAGGATGGAGACCACTATTCATCTTCTCTACTGTGTGGGCGGGGTCAGAGGCACTGAGAAGGTTAGGTGTAGAGGGGGTCGTTTCTGAGCCTAGTTGAACCCAGTGTCTGTTGGACTCTGAGCTGCTTGATGGCCACTCCCACGTTCAAGCCAAGAGGCCTGGGTAAGCATTTGTGCTGCGTAGGCCCCCAGAGGTCATCACCAGTTTGGGGAAGGGGTAAGATGTGTGATATGGCAGACATGCTGCCTCATGAACTTCTGTTGCCACAGAGAGGCGTTGTCAATTGTCATGTATTCACAGCCTTGTTCTTTTTCAAGAGATTGGTGTTCTTGTGGAAAATGGATTTTTGGGTCAAAAGTGGGTGGGCTTTTGCCATTTTTATTTTACTGGTTTGGGTGTTGTGTTTTTACACAGCATACCACTGATTTCCTGCAGGAGTTTTTAATGCCACGGGATGGAGGTTGTGATGAATCTGTTTGGTATTTGAAATGTCCAGCAAATGTAGGCAAATGGAAATTGCCTTGTTAAATCTGTTTGCTTAGCACTTCCCTCTCAGCCCTAGTTTCTTATCCTGAGCAACGTGAAAGCTGATGCGAATTGATCACAGAGCTGAGGGAGAAATATCACTGGAACTGTTGTTGTCACAATGGCTGACTGAGAAGCCAGAGTGTTGGTTGGAGCGTAGTCTCCTAGCTGCCCACCCTTAAGAAAGGTTAAGTCTGCCGGATTTGTGACTCTGTGCCCTCAGGTCCCAGAGGAAAAGCACACAGACATTTCTTTTCCACGATGAGTCTTTTGTGAAGTGGCCTGACTGCCTTGAACTTCCTGCTTTTTACCCTTTGCCTATAGTAACGGTGGTTCTAAAGCAAGAACGCTTCATCGAAGTGACAGAGGCTCTAGGAAACTGGGGTGAAAGGTGAAGTGATGTGTAGGTTCCTAAAGCAACAGAATGAGAGCCACTCTGGAGCGCTGAGCCTCTCTAGAGCAGTGAAGCTGAGGGTATGCAGGATGCTCTCAGAACGAGGAGGTGGAGGTAACCGTGCCGATTCTAGCAGGGAAGGATGGCTCAGTCTGAAAGTGCTTGCTGGGAAGGCACAACCAACCACCTGAGTTGGAATCAGACCCCATGTGAAAAAGCCAGGGATGGTCATTCCTGCTTTTGATCCTCCTGCTGGGAGGCCGTGACAAGCCGATCCCTCCGGCTTGCTGGACAGCCAGTGTAGCCTGCTAGGTGAGGTCCAGGTCCAGATCCGGTCAGATACTCTGCCTCGGGGTTGGGGGGTGAGGGATGAACAGAACCTGAGGAACAACACCTGAAGTTGACCTTCTGTGTCACCCTCCTTGTGTGTGCATGTGCATGCAGGCACACACAGAAGCAGGTTCCTTGTTCCATCCCTGACACTGAGTTGGTGCATCTTGGCCACGGTTTTCATATGTTACCATAACACTTTGATATAACATGGAGAATGCTCTCTCCTACCTCACCGCAGCCTAGCCTTTGACAAGTGTAGACTTTTGTTTGCTCTGTGACCAAAGCAGAATTCTGTTGCTGCTGTCACTGCTGCTGCTTTAATTTTTCAGTGAAAAAGAAAAGCATGAAATGCCATTTGCTTTGCTTCTGGTTGTTTTTTAGTTGCAAGGATCCACTAAAAGCTGAGTGACCTCGGTGAGACCCTTTTCGTCCTTGAACTTTGTTCATCTCTTAAATGGCAGTGTCTTTGGAGTTCCTGCTTTATCTCGTCAAAGTCCATAGGACAAGATGCCTTTGTTTTGTTTGATGTGCCTGATCTGTCCAGGTGATAAGTCCGTCCATAAGCTGCATCTTAATTGCCCCCAGTAAGTTTGTTGATAGCGTTGGTCATTCCCTGTGCTCATGCTTTAAACAACTGAAACATAATACAGTCAAAGTATATTCTTAATGTTTTGTGTAATTCCCAGTTCAGTCTATTTTTAGAAGATAGATGCTGTATTTGAAAGCTGTGATTTACGTTGGTGTTTCCTCCCACATGGTGTGGGAGGGGATCATCATGTATTTGGCGAGCTCCAGCATATTTCCATTTCTGTTCCTTGAAGCCAGACCAATCTTGATGGTCGTAAGTGCCGAGAACATGGAAGCTGTATGCATATTCTGCCCAGAGTGTGGCTTCCTGGGCTTTTTTTGGTCTTTCCTTGTATAATTTTTCATTGTATCTCAACTTGAAGAAAGCCCCACAATTTAACTGAAGAGACTTCACTGAACAAAAAATGCTCCATCTAAGAATTTTGAAATACATGCTGTCAAGATAAGACAAAACTTAAGAAAGGAAGTAGTAGGAAGAAAACAAAACAAAATTGCTTTTGAGTAGTGCAAAAGCTCATCTGTAATAAGGTGTTCAGTCACCATCTGTGCTACCTAGGAGGTCAGCCATGTTGGTGCAGCGTAGCCGTGTTGAGAGAGGACAGGACCGGGCTATCCTTGCTGACAGCAGTGTCCTGCTGTGTGAGCTGTGTAATCCAGGCCTAAAGCCTGGATTGAGTTGTTTTCTCAAACTGATTTCATAGAAGACTATGGTGCTTGATAAATTATAAGATTTACTTCCTCTTGGAGTCCATCCCTGGCAGACTGCCATTCACCATGGCCCTTCAGATCTTGTGTGGTTACGGGAAAGGATTGACTGAGTCGCATGTGTAACTCAGTCTGGGGTGTAGAACTTGCATGTCCTTGCCACATGTCTGCCTAATAGCACGCTGTGTATGGCAGCAGGGGTTCACTCTGGGGACTAAAACCAAGTTTTTTGGATTCTTTGTTGTTTTGTTTTTGAGACAGGGGGATTTCTCTGTATAGCCTTGACTGTCCTGAAACTCACAGATCTGCCTACCTGCTGCCTCCAGAGTGCATGGATTAAAGGCATGCTCCAGCATCAGACATTTTGTTTTGTTGTGTTTCTTGGATTCTTAATGAAACCTTCTTTAACTAACTGAATAGCTGTCTCCTAACAGTTGGAGTAGAGGGTTTCCAGCATTCCACTGTTGATTATTCTTTTTTTGTTGTTGTTAGCTTTTGTCAAGCTAAAGGAAATTTCCTTCCACCCCTCATAAAAAGTTCACGTGAATCAGAGTCGAAATTTTGGTGGTGCTAGCCTTTAATCCCAGCACTCAGGAGGCAGAGGCAGGTGGATCTTTGTGAGTTTGAGTCCAGTCTGATCTACAGAGTTAGTTCCAGGCAGGCTCCAAAGCAATACAGAGAAACCCTGTCTCGAAAAAACAAACATACGAAAAAAAAATTGTTAGACAATGCTTTTAATGCTTTTGTCTCTGTTAAAATGATCAAATTATTTTCTCCTTTAATATTGTACATTACACTGATTTATATGAAACCATCCTTGCATTCTGTAACAAACCAAATTTATCTTTTTTTCTTTTTTTTTTTAATGTTTGTGTTTCTGTGCTTGTGTAACACAGCATATATATGGAGGTCAGATGCCTTCCACTGCGGGGTTCACCTTCCACTGGAATTCCAGGGATCAACTCAAGTTGTCAGGCTGTTTAACAGCTGAGCCCTTGCCTGACTTTGTAGTCAGTCATCTGCAGTTGCTGAACTTGCCTTCTCATTTGTGTTTAGCACCTCTGTGTCTAATTTGTGATAGAAATAAGGTGGTTTTTCATTCATATAGGGACTCTGTTAGGTTTAGCATTGAAGTTGTGCTGACCAAATGAGTAGAAGATATCTTTATATTTGGAATAATCAATGTAAAATCTGAATTAGTTTTTGAAGTTGTTTGAAGAATTTACTAGTAACTTATTCTTGAAATTGGGTGGGAAATACTTAAAAAGTATTTTCATCTTTTATTATAAGAGTTTTGCTTTAAATCTCTTAGTTTAATAAAAATTTAAGGAATTTACCCATTTATGTGTTTTAAAATTAACTAGCACAGAGTTGTCCATAACTTCTAAAAACCAGAATTTCGGTCATTGTTGTTTTTATTTAGAATTTTGAAGCCTTGGCAGACACTGCCGACTTCTTGGGAAAAACATCTGGCCTCCAGTCAAGTGTTGTTTATCTTACTTAGTTTCACTCTTTCTGGTCTGTTTGGTTCTGTTCTATGCACGTGTGCCCTCATTTAGACAGTCAGCTATATTAGTCCTTATTTT